AACAGACACAACAGAAGAATGAAAAACAAGTTAGAGACAAAGAAGAAACTGTTAAGAAGATTCACAAACAAAGTTTTGTTGTGTTTTGCGTTAAAACCCCCTGAGGATCATTTATGGAACGAATCCACAACCAAATAACAAAAGGATGATGCAACAGGGTTTATGTTGTGTTGTCCTGAGAGGACGACTTAACGAGACGCTGGTCCTAACAGACACTAACGGGCGGCTCTCAGGTGAGTTCATTAAGGCCGACACACACTGACCAGCTGCTGTCTGTCAACAAACACACACTTCCTCTCATAAACAGCTTGTTGTTGCTCAACATGACTGCAGCTAAAAGTTTATTACTTCAAACTGATGAATGTTTCTGTCAGATTAGTTCAATGAGCTCATGTAGCCATGATGTAAACCAAGGGGGTAACTTTGTGATCAAAGTTGGTGGGAGCGCTTTAAGGGTGGGGGCGATCTAAGGGTGGGGGCTGATGGACCTACAGTTGTTCCACCCGAATGCCTTCATTAAGTTTTTCAATATAAAAAAAAAAGAGCTCAAACAGATTTACTGAATGCTTTCCTATTGTTGAGAACACAAGAGAACCATAATACACTGATATTTAGATTTATATGTAGTTAGAGAGATGCCTTTTAATGCATTTTATATATATATAGGGCCCAAAAACATTAATGTATAAAAAAATTATGAACAACAGTGGATTCTGATGCCAAAATTGATAAAGCATGGATCCTTAGAAGTACAATTTCAATTCCATCCATCCTAAAAAAAATATGGATATGCTGCATTTTAAATGTAGCATATATTTTTTTCGTAAACTTTCTGGTGAACTTGGAGATATATTAAATCAGTAAATCTGTTTCTCCTTTAAATGTGCAGCTCTCCCTACTTCTCCTTGCTCTGTTTAAAAAGATTAATCAACCTATTTACTGATATAATGATGCCAGAAACAACATTTGACGACATGGAGAAGCTCTGCAGTCTGATTCTGTCTTTACAATATAAAAACGTTCGTTTTAACCTATAACTGGAGTCATCATGGTCCCCTGAGAAGCCAAGTTATTTTTAAATAGTAAAGAAGAACACAAGCTTCTTGAATTATAATACTAACTTGTATAAACTTATAATCTGTTGCCATTTTTAGCTGAAATGCTCCGTATGTCTAACTAACTGATTTTTCAGTGGCATCTTAATTTTTTCAACCAACCTGTCTCCTTTCTTTTACTTAAGCGTATATTAAGGTAACTGCTGCTTAAATTCACTGACTGCTGCTGTGTGTTTCTCCTCCAACTATGTAGCTACTCTGTACGCAGTGAAATGTGACCATGAATCAGATGTCTCAAAGCGACAGATCGGATGATGCTACACCGAAAGGCGGGACATGGGAGCAGCGCGAGAGAGGAAAAAAAACACTGACTGAAAAGACTCTGAACCCAGATAGCTTCATCCAACCTCTGTTACCTTTGGCTAAAGTAAATGTAGTGAAAAAGGAAAAAAAAAAAGGAAATTATTGGTGGGGACATGTCCACACCAGTCCTTCAGAAAGTTACGCCTGTAATCTAAACAGTCAAATGTATGTTTGCGTGTTTACTGTCCAAAAAGAAGCCAGAGATAAATGTGGTTTAGCTGTAAACCGTTTAAACCAGTGGTCTCCAACCCTGGTCCTCAAGATCTACTGTCCTAAAGATTTTAGATGCATCCCTGCTTCAACACAGCTGAATGATTGATTTCCTTTTCAAGCCATTCATTTAATTAAGCTCTGTTGAAGCAGGGATGCATCTAAAATCTGTAGGACAGTAGATCTTGAGGACCAGGGTTGGAGACCACTGGTTTAAACCAATGTTAATCAGATTTGGAGTTCCTCAGGGATGAGTTCTCAGTCCTTTCCTGTTTGTATTCAACTCTTCCTGTTCAAAATAAGAATGAGTTTTAGGCCAAATAGTAAAATTACAGGATAAAATATTCATGATGCTCTTATATGGACTGAAAAAGAGGCTCTACCAGGATCTTTAATGGAATCCATAATAATTTTTAAAAAATTAATTCCGATTAAAAACAAACACACCACAGATCGCAGGTTTATTTAGTGATAAAATTTATTTGGTATCTGTGAGTACCTACAGTTGTAGTGTTCTCATACAGTTCATCAAACTGGTATATCTTTATAAAAATTAAAGTAATTAAATCTACATACATCTAATAAAAAAAACAACAACAACAAAAGAACAAAATGTGAGTCCACCTCTGCTTTAATAGGCGGGGACAGAAAGTGCTGCAACACCTTCTGGAAGAATGATCATGTCATTAAAAATCTGTGCTTTAAATAACAATAAACATTCAAACACACAAACGGGATGGTTGAAAACTGCAGAGGAAACACCAACACACACCCACACACACACACTAACAAACCCGTGAGTGAGCAGAACATAAAAACATCTTTGGTGTCTGATTTTAAAAAAATCAGAAAATCCGGAAAAAGTTCAAACACAAACAGCTGGAATGTGACATTTAATCAGAGTTTCTGGCGACACAGAGGGACCCTGTAATGTTTGGAGTCAGGAACTGGTCTGCAAACTCGGGCCGTTTCTCAATTCACAAGAACGCGAGTATGGACTCGTGTTCTCGCCAAGTATGTTCTTGAGAAGAACACAGGAAAGTCTGGACTCGGAGAACGGGAGCATGCAGTATAAATATGGGTTGATTGGAACAGAAGCATACTGATGACATCACCAGACACTCGGCTCCTCTGGAGCTGCGTTTCACCTGTCTACTTCATAGATGGCTATGTAGAGAGAGGGCCGCTGCAGACGGGCTAACGTTAGCCCTGGCTTCAGTTAGCCTCGGAGGTCCGCTTGTTGCTTCGGTCCTTTCAACTTTGGATTTTTGTTTTAAATTACGCGCTAAATCAGTAAATGGGCCATATAGAGATGCTTAAAAGTATAATATCAAATGATCTTAAAACGTACTTTTATTGAACAATGTCAACAGAAAACTGAACTTTTAACTTAATACTCTGAGCTCTGTGAGCGCTAACCTGGAAGCTGCTGCTGCCGCAGGGCATGCTGGGACAGCTGTCACTCTGGAGAATGGACAAGTCTGCTCTGATGCATGCTGGGTAACAGAGATGGGAAGTAACGAAGTACAAATACTTTGTTACTGTACTCAAGTAGATTTTTACTTTACTTTACTACTTATTTTTATGGCGACTTTTTACTTCTAGTCCTTACATTTTTACACAAATATCTGTACTTTCTACTTAAAAAATTGGCTCGTTACTTTAGTTTTGAATCATTTCAATGGAGTTACCGTTATTATTTTTCACGTCATCAATACCAAATTCAATCTAATTGGATGGGAATCTACGTTGCATTTGACGCACCACTACAAGATGAATCGACAGATTCGGCGGTATTCATTGGCGGCAAATCATTGCAGCTTGGTGGCGGTGGCGTTAGCATAGTAGCATGGACGACGAGATGATTGAAAATAAACACGACGGAGATCTAGTCCTATTGGCAGACATCCATTTAAAATGTAGGCAACGGCATGAAAAAAGTGGTTTCTACTTTTACTTTTATACTTTAAGTAAATTTACAAGCCTGTACTTTGTTACTTTTACTTGAGTAAAGAAGTTTAATCAGTACTTCCACTTTTACCAGAGTATTTTTAACACAAGTATCTGTACTTTTACTCAAGTACGTAAAGTGAGTACTTTTGCTATCTCTGTTGGGTAAAGAGGGAGGGGCCAGAAAAACATGTGGGGACTTTGTCCGTTCTCGGTCTGCTGTTCTTGTGAACTGGAACAGTAGTAGGACTGAGGTTGATGACTTTCACGAGGACGCACAAGTACACATACTGAGAAACGGCCTGGGAATCCAGGCTGAGGCTACAGAGTTTCCTGATTCTTCAACTCTTTCTAAGGCCACAGAAGAAGCAGAAGGAGAAGAAGGTCCCAAGGTGTGACGGAGACACTCTGATTCAGAGTGACGATGCTTTAAGGCCAAACGTGACTGAAGCTTCTAAACCTGCAGCTGAAACATGATGTGAGGATAACGAGCTAATAAGAGGAGCAGCTCCGGTTAAGCATAAAGAACAAAGTGATCGGAGCGGAGCCTGGAGTTCAGTCTGGGCTCAGAGCAGCTTTAAGGCACAGACGTAATGAAGGCCTGCTGCCTTGCTCTAAGGCAGGGCAAACCGGGTAACATCTAATGTGTTGGTAAACACACTGGAAAATGGTTCAGTGTTTAGTTTTCAAATCAAACTGGGACAAAATGTGACATTCTGAGTTAAAGTTCAGTGACACGGCAGAAGTGTTCATGGGCCTCATCTCAAGATGCAGATCGGTTTCTGCAGCTTCCATAAACGGACCAATCATACGAGAGCTTTTGGGCGTTTCCTCCAGACTCCATGTGAGAGAGAAAACATGTCAAACCCAGAACTGTTACGGTTAGTTGAGCTACAGGAAGAGTCTGTGGGAATGTGGAGGAGCTGCTCTTCACAGGGAGTCAGTCCAATGACACGACCTCGCAGGAGACAGAGGTGGGCAGGCCATCAGGTGGGCGGAGTCTAACACAGGGAGCTGCATTGACTGGTTAATCAGAGAGGGTCAGAGTACGTAAACAAGTCGCACCATGGAGGAATTTTGTTTTAAAGGTGAACATAAATGTGAGCAAACAAAACCTGATCTAAAAATAACCTAAAAATAACCTCATTTACATTACAGTAAGATAATAGGGATGTTTATTTCTAATTTAAAATGTAAATCTTTTGATTCCACCGGCAAATCATTAAATTCAAAAATTAAAGAAAAATGCAGTTATTGAAAAAGTTTTTTTTTACTTATATTTCAAGTTTTGCAGTGCATTGAACAATGGTTAAAGAAGCTCGAAATAAAAAAGTACTAAAGATCTAATAAAGGGCGAATGATGCTGATCCCCATCCTAAACTGGTCCAGCTTAATTAATACTGAGCCCAAGTTTGGTTTTAATTCTTTCTCCTGAAATGGAGCCACATTTGTAGGGAAATTAATATGTGAGCAGTAGAGTTGAGTGTTTGGGTTAAAATCTTATCCTGTTGTTTGCTATCATTCACTAAAGGCAATGTTGATAAAAAAAAAGTCTATTGAATGTATTTAAATAACAGCGTTCACCTGTTCTTCAGTCATCTGTTCAGCATCTGTCCATAAAACCAGCTCTGCTTCTCCATCCATGAAGGCATTTCTCTGCCAAAGGGAGCCTCATTTAATGAGAAATAACATTTCTAATGGAGTCAGGCTAACAGCAGAGACAATTTGTTAAAACAATAGAAGAAAACTCTACTGACATTAAAGTCAAATTATTTTCTATTTTGCTCTGATATAATTTCCAACAGTTGGTGGTTCCGGCAGATCGTTACTCCATCATCATGATGTTTTATCTCACTAATGGCTGAATTATCCTGAATCTTTGAACCCTCCAGACCAACATCATTACTGCTTTAAATGCTCATAGACTGAATCATTAAATTATGATTGCTGTGTTCAGTTAACCATCATTCATTACTTAACTTCTGTTTATCTAAACCTTTTTTTTTTAGCTAACACTGTATTAATATGTTTTCCCCTTTGCAAATCCACCAGGGGTCTCAGAATGCATTGTGGGTAAAGACCGAACCGTATCCTGATCCTTTATCATGTTGGTTTTTAGAGGGAAACTGATAATTTCCTGATGCATCGGATGATTCTTATATCACAGCCTGATAACAGGATCAAACCTTCAGTGAAACTCCGCCCACCTGCACCTTCAACACCCCCTACCACCGTGGGTAAAATTTCTCCTGCTCAGGTCTGACAGGCTGAGGATCAGCGGCCCCCTGACTCGTCCTACACGGATCTTCATTCCTCCTCCTCTTCCTCCTCCTCTTCAGCCATCACCTCCACCAGCAGGTCAGCTGTGCACGTTGCTTCGCCCAGACTGTTGACAGCTTTCACCATGTACTTGGCATCATCGTCACCTGAAACCTGCAGGATTCAGCAGATGTTAAATTATTAACACTTCAACATAACAGGTTAAAGACACATTATTAGAATGGATTTAGAGGAACTACAGGTGATCCACCAACACAACAAACAAAACAAATCTTATATTGATGGAAATAGGTTCTTTATCAGCCAATAGGTTGAATCTATTGACCTGCTGAAGGCAACACTTGGTGGGGATGGGGGGATTGGTGGGGCTACAGAGAAGCAACAAAAGTTTCAGATTTTAATTTGTAAAAATAGAAAACCAAGATTTATTTTTTCTCTGGGTTATAATTATCAAGTTGTGTAAAACTGAGGTTTTTAGTTTTTAAATAAATAAGTAATAGAAAGAGTTAAAGGGTTTTGGATACTTTGCAAAGTGATTCCAAAGATGTTAAAAAACAATCCATTGGACTTTGTTTCCAAGTTTCAAGACGTTTCTCTTCCCATCCAGGAAGCTTTTTCAATTCAAAATGTCAGAAATAGCATTGAGTTCCAGACTTCATAGAGTGGACCAAAAATGTCCTGTTGGCTTAGAAAACATACAGATTGAACCAAACAAATAGGTCCACCCCTTGATTATTTTAGGTCTGGGGTTTGGTCTTCAGGATGCACTAGTCTCTGTTTAAGGATCTGTTTGGTTTGATGTTCTGGGATTTTGTGTTTGGAGAAAATCCTCTTGAGTTTTTCAGAGACTCCAGCAACAAATGGGATGGTGATGTTTTTGCGTTTAATCGTCTCAACGTTATCTTCTGCTGCGTGTCTTTTGGATTTCCTTGCTGATTTGACAAACGGCCACTTTAGGTGTCCACAGGTTGGGAGAGCATCATTGATGTGTTTCTGTTCTTTGTGCTTCCCTTCTGTTTTAGTAGGCAATGCTCGGCCTGGTGTTGTAAGGTCCTGATGAGAGAAAGTTTGTTTTCCAGAGGGTGGTGTGAGTTCAAAAGAAGATAAGCTAAGCATCTTCAAACTTGGAAAAAAGTCTAGTGGATTTTATTTTTTATTTTTTTTTTACTTTTTTGGAATGACTGACCTGGATGGCTGAGAACCACCATATTTACTAATTAATGTGTAAATATAGTGTCAGTGTCACCTAATGTTTGTTCATTAACTGAAAGTATCTTTAAAAATGCAACTTTATATTTAGAAGTGTGAGATGAAACTTCAGATTGTTAAATCAGTGAGAAGCAGCTAATCCTAAAAGGTAAAAAGATAACTTCAACACGGACGTCCTTCAATAGGCTGGGATTAATAAAGATGGGAGGATTTCCTCTGATTGATATTAGAAGCTACGGTAAAGTTGGAGGAGTTTTGGACACAAACATTTTTAACTTTTAGCATCTGAATGGTGACACATTCTTTGTTGGAGTTATTATGATTTCTGTCTAACCCTCACTAAGCCAGAACATGAAATTCCCCTTAATCAACTCCATGTCACTATGAATATTTCTCAGAGTCCAGACACAGACTATGCACAGCAATTTTTGAGAAAGGAGGTTGTCCCAATTAGCTGTCTATATTTATACACTGATGGAGTCTCATTTGGGGCTGCTGCAACTGTTTTGTTACCTTCAGAGCTTCAACCTTTGTACAGATTCCCATGGCTGCCACATATATCACTTTTCTGTTCCAGTGAAACACAGTGGAAAGACAGTGGCCCTCATTTACGAGTAGCAGACGCAGCTACAGACTACACACCTCTAAATCACTGTGGTTGGTCCTTTAGGGTTTCAACTGGCCTAAGCAGACTTGAGCTTAAGTATGTTGTGGACTCACAGACCAGAGTACATGAGTTAGAGTGACAAACTGAACTTTTTCTAACTGAAAGAGAGGAACTGGATTTACAAAATGTTTCTAAGCAGTTATGGTCAACAGGCCCAACAGACGTAGGTCTAATTACAACGATTTCTCCAGTTACCATTCAACCAAAATCACAATGGAAGCCCAGAATAAAACAGTACCCTCTAAAGAAGGAAGCACAGGAGGGTATCAGACCAGTTGTAAAGAAATTACTCATGGCAGGAATAATCAGACCATGCCCTGATTCCCCATGCAATACTCCCATCTTTCCAGTCCAAAAGGCTAATAAAAAAGATTGGAGAATGATTCAGGACCTGCGAGCTGTAAAGCAAGCTGTAGAGACCAGAGCCCCTAATGTTCCTGATCCGCACACTCTGTTAAACACTTTAAGCCCTGAAAACAAGTATTTTTCAGTTATTGATTTGAGTAATTTTTTTTTTTCTCAGTACCAATTCATCCTGACTCTCAATATTGGTTTGTTTTCACATTTGAGGGTAGAAAGTTTACATATACCAGACTTCCCCAAGGCTTTGCGGATAGCCCTACTATTTTTACCCAAGCTATTCTGGCATGCCTGGATGATTTTGTTTTGGAGTTATTATGATTTCTGTTGTTTTTATCATTTTATTAATTTATATGTTTTATATTGCTCTCAATCATTTGTTTTTCTATATGTCACTCTCATCATTGGAAATAGTGTATGAAGGTCATAAGACGGTCAAATGTTTTGCAAGAATGCTTTCGTGTTTTTCATTTGAGAAGCACAGAAGTGAAAGTTCATAACCCTGACACTTTGTGTAAAGCGTATACTGAAACCAGGCAAGTTCCCTATCTTAAAAGTTCATGCTATGTCTAAGAGATTGCGTAATCAAAACTAACGCCTGCTGTTGTAATGTGTTGACTGCTCAATAAAAAGCCTGGCAAATGTTGAGCCAAGCGGAGATGCAGAGATTGATTCTTCAACTCTGCCTATCTCCCCTTTGCAAAGCACTGTCAGGAAAAATCTTACACTGTCTTTGTTTCATTTTTTCATAGGTTAAAGTTGGGGAAACTTAACAACCCTAACATCTTGGGATCAAAATGGTGGAGTTATTCCTTATGGCCCAGGAGATCTCAATGGAACAGTTATAACAGCTTTACAGCCTCAGTGGGCTGCTGTTTGCAATGCCATGCGTACTGAGTTTAAAAAGAGGGCTGATTATGCCCATTTGTCCACTGTATTACAAAAATCAGGAGAAAATGTGGATGATTACAAAATTAGATTTGAAAAAGAATTCAGAGCTCACAGTAGCACTCCTTATGATGCTGATAAGGACAGTACCTTTCAGGCACAGCTTAGAAATGGTTTAATGAATGGGTTTCAGGCACACATTAGTTCAGAAAGATCAGAAAGCATTTGGTAGAGCACAGAACAGCTGATGTTGTAAGGATAATGGAGTACGCTAGACATGCAGCTGAAGTTACCAAGGAAAAGGGAAGTGGAACTGGAGGCACAGGAGAAGTGTTTTACACTAACCAAGATGAGTTAGAAGTGTTTGTGAGAGAAAATAGAGGCAGTGGTAGGGGTGGCCAGCCATGGGGTGGTAGCAGATTTAGAGGTCAACAGAGAGGCCAAGGAGGTTGGAATAGAAAATATCAGACGAACCAGAAATATGATGAAGGTTGTTTTAATTGTGGTTTAAAAAAACACTGGGCCAAAGACTGTCCTGACAGTGCAGAACAGTCTTATCTCAGAGGTAACAGGAAACAGGAAAACCATTTTACTGAGGAGTGACTAGATGAAGAATCAGTTGATGTTTTTGGTGCTTGGGAGTTGCTAAATGCCTTGACTGCTCAATAAAAAGTCTGACAAATGTTGAGCCAAGCGGAGATGCAGAGATTGATTCTTCAACTCTGCCTATCTCCCCTTTGCAAAGCACGGTCAGGAAAAATCCTACACTCTTTGTTTCATTTTTTATAGGTTAAAGTTGGGGAAACTTAACTACCCTAACATTCTTCCTACTGATGACACTGGAGGCAGTTTACATCCCTCATAGGGGTCAGCCAGTTGTTATGGTTTTTCATGGTTGTCTGTTCTAGCACAGTTATCTGAGATGAAGCTTAGCACTGATTTCTGCATCCATTTCTCTGCCTTAGTTGGATTACAGCATCATAGTCTGATTTGTTAGATAGTTGTCCGTTTGGACAATGTTTTATTGCTGTATGGAGGAGATGCAGATCTGCCTGACCGCAGACAGCAGATTGGTTTAAGAGATCTGTACTGAATTAGCAGGACCTAAGATCAATATATTTCTAAGCCCATTTTAATCCCACTCAGCTGCAAGCTGCAGCCTCTGACCTCTGAAATGACCAGACTGCAGTTTCCTTCCTCATCGTAGTCGATCTGGAAGTGTCGGGTCTCTTTGATTGGCTGGTCATCTTTGTACCAAACCACCTCAGGGTCAGGGTATCCTGCAGCACAAAACAGCTGTTTAGTTCACAGTGAGTGAAGAGTTCAAAGGAAAAAGGTTTCTGTTTGTTCAAGGAGCTCAGCAGCTTCATGCCTTAAAAGAGAACATGTTCTTTACTGTTAATTCGTCTAAAATAATGGAATTTTATCTGTTATTTCTCAGTTTCCACACTAACTCCTCCTGAACGATCATATTTTTAGATTTGATGGAGACCGGGTTAGTGGATGTAAACATCAGGATTAGCCAGTAATGAACTGAAGGAGCGGTTCTGATGGTTCTACCTTCTATCTTGCAGTCAAAGCGAGCAGCGCTGCCCTCCACCACCTCTACATCTTTGATGACGGAGGTAAAGGTGGGTTTACACTCCGTCTTCTGTTCATACTCCAAACACTCCAGGAACTGATTATCCTCTGGAAACAAACAGGAACACATTCCGTCAGTGGGAGGCGAAGACAGACGGGTCGTAGTTTTCCAACATTTAAAAATATTCAGCAAACAGGAAGCTTTAAATCAGACTAGAAGGCCCATAGTGGATCTGATCTGCAACCTTAGGAGCATTTTCTAATCGCTCTGCTCATATTTAGCTTGGTTCTGGTCCAGTTAAAACCTAGTGGTTTGTTTCCACTTTTACAGCCAATGATCCCGATCCCTTATGTTTGATAGAATTGATATATATTAATATACCATATATGATTTGACCTGAACTAGTGATGCAATTTATTCGATTATTGAATGAATCTAAATGTGATCGATCTTATCAATGAATTAACAATTAGTTGATATGCGAGAATTAAAGTAAAACCCCACATTTGTTGTTCTTTCCATGAAGTTGATGCTAACCGAGATATAGCTCTCTGTTTTCAGTGTATTCCATCAGTCAGTGCTAGGAGAGTCTTAGCACTGTTAGCAGAGCTTTTAAACAGGCAGTTCTGGTGTTGGTTTTTTCGCAAAAAAAATTTAGAATTTGGATCCATGAAGTTTATTATGTTGTAAAAGTCTTCTCCATCTTCTGTGTGAACTGCTGGCGTTTCTTTTTCTACCTATTTACAGACATTTTGTTTAATGCCCACCACATCCTCTTCCAAACACAGAAGAGAAGTTCCACTGCTCCTCCATGCAACCTGGCTAAATGAGCGCTATTAATATAATAACTTAAGGATTTTATTAAGTGTTGTATTTATAAACAAGACAGCATACAGTTGATTCTACATCCTTGTCGCCATTTAACAATGTGTATAATCCTGGAACAGTCTCTGGAATGATTCATGTTTCTGCTCTAGCAGGCATCTGCAACACTGAACAAGAGTGCTCTCTATTGGCAGGTGGTAACATTACAACAATGAAAGAAATTACTCATTTTTCAAATATTCAGATGGAACAAAGTGGAATGTAAAAAAAACTTTATTTGAATGTAAAGATGGGACTCAGCTTGATTGGGTTCGGTACCTTCGGTGGGCGAGCCCTTCTTGGCACTGACGCCAGCCATCATGGCCATAGAGGAGAGTCGGCCGATAGCTCGAACGGCGTGACCAGTTTTCTGTCCCAGAGGAGGAGATGTGGACGTTACGATGGTTTCTACGGGGTGTTCTGCCTTCAAGTTCCTGTCATTTACCTGCCACTTTCTCCTCAGGATGTACTTCTTCATCCTCTCCTTGGACAGCTTGGTGGTCTTCATGGTGTTGGTGTCCTGTTTCAGCCACGGGTGTTCAAAACACTGAGGACAGCTCAGCCGAGCCCTGAGTAGAGAAATGTTACACTGTGAACAGATCCAGCAGTCTGCAGATCCTACCAACATCTCCTCCATGTGTCGCGGTGATGAGATGTTTCTGGAGGGAACATCATGATTACTTCATGTCCTTCTTTAGCAGGTTGGTGATGAAGTCTTTGGCGTTCTCAGAGATTTCATCAAAGGCCTCATCCTCAAAGTCCCAGGTGGCCGAGGTGACGTTGGCCAGAGTCTCGTTGTCGTTGTCGCCCATGAATGGAGAGAGACCGCTGAGCCTGAGGGGGGAACAGAGGAAACATCTTAGCTAAGGCACCGCAGGCCAGGCCCAGTCCAACAGAGCTGAATCCTCACAGGATGTAACAGATGACTCCTATGCTCCACATGTCTGTGGGGTAACTGATGGCTTCATAGTTGATCACTTCAGGAGCCACAAACTCTGGAGTCCCAAACAGAACCTTCAGAGTTCCAGCGTTTTCTGTTGGCGGATAAAACCAGAGGTCAGGTCCAGACAGAGACCACTGGGGAAGAGTTTACTGGTCCCAGAGTTTTCCTACCAAGCCGGCGGGCCAGGCCGAAGTCGATAAGTTTGATCTTGCTGCCGGTCTTGTTGACACACATGATGTTCTCGGGTTTGAGGTCCAGGTGGACGATCCCCTGTTTGTGGATGAAATTGACGCCGCCGATGATCTGCAGCATGTATTTAATCACCTCCCTCTCTGTCAGCTCAAAGTCTTCATCGATGATTCGCTCAAACAGCTCGCCGCCTGAGATCCTGCAGACAGAGAACATAAAAACCTTTTCATGGCTCAGTTTTCCTTAATAAAACACTGAAAGATTTCCCGCATTTCAACAACATTTTTGGTTGTTTTACCACTAAAAAGTGATTCATTATTTAGATTTAACCATTTTTAAACAAACTGTGACTAACCTCCCTGTCATTTCAGCATAATGCTGCCACCACCATGCTTCCACATTAACTCTGTTTTACTTGTTTTAATATTAATTTCTCTCCAATCATATGTTTTTTTGTCTCCTACCACAGGCAGGACTTTTTATTTGTGTGCGATACAGGTACACTTGCACCTTAATCCTTATTTACCTTGATATACTGTATATACCTGGATATACTGTATATATATATATATATTGTTTATTGTTTATTCTTAATGCACCTTTTCCTCCTTGTTTGCACCTTCTTTGACTTCTATGCTAATATGTAACAAGTGAATTTCTCCGCTGTGAGATCAATAAAGCTTAATCTAATCTAATCTAATCTAATTTAATCTTATTTCACTGTTTTCAAGTGTCTTCATTGTTCCTCTCCTCTACAGCCTGAGTCCTTGAAGTCCATGATTGATTTTCCTGTTCCTAGATCTTCCCACCTGAGCTGTTCATTGCAGCTCCTCCAGAGTTACCCTCAGCTTCCTGTCTGCCTTCCTGGTCAATGCTCTCCCCCTGCCCTGTTTGCTGTGCTTCCTCTATTTACTAAATAGAGTATGCATTTATTTTACTAAAAAGTATGTATTTATTCTGTTGGACTGGATTTATTTATTTGGTAGAAATAAAGTAAAGGGGTGTTTATGAAACGCATGCCACAATTTCCACAATCTGATTTCTCAAAAGTTTTAAAACCAGCGTGTAATTTTCCTTTCTATAAACAGTTATATATATGTTCAGATCCAGCTCATAAATTCAGAGTAAAGGTTATTTTAGTTTATGGTGCAAAATAAGGAGGGATAAAAAGCTTCAGTAATTTAAAGACACCAAAGCAAATCCTGTAATGTCTGTTAATGAATTACATTCTAAGAAATAAAACTCATCATTCTGCTCCTGTTTTAGATTTAAAAGACAAAAGGATTCCTCTAAATTCAGGTCTCAGATTTAAAACTTTGTCTGGTTAAACTGAGCTTTAGTTTCCTGTTTGTTTGTTCCTTCGTTTGCTGCTGCCTCCTTAATGAAGCTGTGGATCCAAGATGATCTGATGGTAAACACTCCTCTTCCTGTTTGGATGCCCAGTTTGCATCATGTCAGCAAATATTTGCTGCTTCCTCTCCAGAGTTTATTTATCAAAGTTAAAACTGAAAGTCCTTCCGAATAACAGGAAATCAGCTCAGAGTTCAGCAGCCATGACTAAAGAAGTGGATCAGTGTTTCAGGGAGTTTGTTTCTAATCTTAGCTGAATTCCTCTCATAGCTCAGCAGAAATGGTTTCCTCTGTAAAGCATCTTGTTTGTGTTTGCAGAGCAGCTCAGATGTTTATAACCTCAGTAACCCTGCAGGGGGAGAACCTACATCTCCAGCACCATGACGATGTCCGACTTGCCCTCGAAGGCATCCACACACTGCACCAGTTTGGGGTGATGGAGGCTGTTCATGATGCCGATCTCCTGCCGGACGTTCTCCTTCTCCTTGGCCGAGTACGCTTTGATAAACTTTCCTGCCCAAACCTTCTTGGTGGATTTCTCCACCAGCTTGAAGACCTGACCGAACTTCCCCCTGAGACACAATCAGAGCAGGTCTTAGTCTGTGCTGGCTGACCCCTGGGAGTGAGGTGAATGGGCGGAGCCTTACGTTCCCAGCCGCTCCTCCACGTCGTACAACTCCTTCACCTTCACGTCGGTTCTGATGATCACGTCTCTGTACTCTGGTTCTTTTTCTGGGTGGAAACACAGAGAAACCAGGTCATCCTGACAGCCATGGCTGATGAACGCCATATGATCAGTCTGCTGAGGCTCCTACCTTCATCATCCTCCTCTACCTCCACTTCCTCCTGGTTGTCTGTTAGAGGAATCAAACAGCAGTGTTAGTGCAGTTAGTGGTGTTAGTCCAGTTAGTTGGACCTGGTTCTGGTTTAGGAGCAAGTTCTGATTTCAGGATCACATCTAATTCCCTGAGGGCCCCTCCTTTCAGGAGTCGCCACACTGGAGCCAGGGTTTTTAGTTGCTATAGCAGCAGGAAAAACTCAGAACAAATATCTGTTCCATCATGTATGGATTCCTCACTATGCAGAAACCAATCACTCATTTATAGGCTCATAAACCAGCAAATTTAATCTGATAAATCCTGCTTTTCTATCTTCTCAGTGATAAATTGAGATTATAAAATAAAATAATAAGCTGAGAAGCTCCTAGAGGCCAGAAAAGTGAAGATTAGCTCTCAGAGAACCAGAGCAGATTCGTTAGAGAACATCCTGTGATGCTTTGAGGGAGAAACTGTTCAAAGGGACAGAAATATTTTCTTTTACCATACGAGGAGTTTAAACTCGTCTCATCTGTTCAGAGGAAGAAGTTATATGTTGTTAATGTAAAGGTTTAAAACTAATTAACAGAGGGATCATCTAAATCCAATATGCTAAGAATCCAGGCAGCAGGTGGAGCCTTTGAGTCAACTTTAAAATTCTTACTAATTCAGGAGATTTAAATGGCTTTAAATGTGTTAGAATGATTAAGATAGTTGTGTTAATTGAAAAAAACGGACTGGTTTTTAACCAAATAATGAATCTAAGATGTTTAATTATATATTTTAGATAGCAATGTCTTTTTTAGCAGGTATAAAATGTTAACTGCATTATAAACACTTGAATGAGTTACAAAATTTTTATGTATGAAATAAAAACATCTATAAACTAGTTATGGGCTATCTATACGGTGATAGTTATTGTAAAGTGGTAGTGATGTATTTGTAGTATTTATTACCAGCTTACTGCCTGTTTTATACTCTGGTATCCATCCTGACATTATGCTGTTGTGTCTTTTCTGAAAAGATGACAAAAGGAAGTGCAAGTTTCTAAGTCTATTTTATTCTTTATTTCTTCTAAAAATTAATATCATTATTTTAGGGGACTATTTGAAAAGGATTTTATTGTGAGTTTATTTCCAACCTGGATTCATTATCTGTGGTTCTGGAGCGTTTCTGGGGAGAAATTTGGCGTTTGGTCTGATTAAGGAAGCAGGAGGAGGGCGGTTTAAACAGCAGGACTCCTCTGATGATGGATCTGATGATCTACCAACACCTGAAGGTTCTGGAGTGGACGGATCTATGGTTATGTTCAGAACTTTTTTACAGGTTCTTCAGAACCTTTCAGCTGGACCAATGAAAGCATTTCCCTCTGAATTTATAAACGACATCAGTGAACCTTAGATCTGTTTATTTTCTTTAGGCTGAGCTTCTATGGAGATAGATCAGTCTTAATTTTCACAAATACACATATGTGATTTATACATGCACAGGACAATTCATGCAAGCACAAAAAAATCCACATACATGCTGTGCATGTGTGGATCTTGTCCTGTGCATGTGTGGATCACATATGTGTATTTGTGAAAGTGGAGGCTGATCTACCTCCATGAGCTTCTGCCACCTGTTTAAACAGGAAGTGGACCTCCTTTTATCAGACCCACTGTGTTATGGATCTCTGAACTGGTTCAGTTCCAGTTTTCTCACCGTCGTCCACCAGTCCCACTGTCACAGCTTCAGACTCGGCACTCGGCTCTCCAATCCCATAAATGTTCTGAGCTCGGACTCGGAACTTGTACTGTCGCTCTGGGAGAAGGTTCTGGAGACAGAAACGGTTTCAAACATCGGATCCTAATCTGTTCTGTCTCGGGTTTGGATGTAAACTCACCTGGACGTTGTAGGAGGTGCTGTTGCAGGAAACCAGCTGTTTCCACTGCTGCTCCACAGAGTCCCAGATCTCCAGGTGGTAGGTCTGCACGGCGCTGCCCCCGTCGTAGGTGGGTCCGTACCACGACAGGGTCAGGCTGGAGCGCCGGATGTCTGAGGCTGCCGGGACCTTGGCCGGGGGGTCGGGTTTATCTGAGGAGGAGGGAGAAGATCGGACAGGGGGACACACATTTGTTAGACCAGTGGTTCCCAAACTTTTTGTGCCCAAGGCATACCAAAGGACAAGTAAAAATCTCAAGGCACACTTATTGTGCTAAAGAGCATTTAAAACCTGTGTCATCCATCGTGTTTAGCAAAATATTTGTTACAATTATGTACTGATTCAAAATAAATTTTGACAAGACAACTATATTACTCATGAAATATTTATTAACAAAATATTCCAAAATTTTATTTGAAAGTTCATCAAAATAGGCTTCATCAAAGCAGCCACACGCCTATTTAAATCATGGTACACAAAATTAAAAACGAAGCAAAGAAAACTCAGCAGAAATTAAGCACAAAGAACTGTCAATGCAAGGAAGCTGCACTGTCCATTGTCCTGAACTACAAATAATAAATGTAACATTTTTTTATCAGCATTGAAACGTCTGCTGTTGTAAATATTGTGTCTGCTTACAAATTAGTGAGACACGTGTGCCTGTCAGTGTGCACAGATTTTTTTAATCCTTGGTGGCACTGAGGAGAGCGCCACACGCAACAGAGCGCCGTGACCTCCTGTTGTTCTTCATGTAAACCAGAGTAGAGAACGCCAGCTCACACAGGTAAGTAGTGGGGAAAAGAAGAAGTTGCTCAATTGCGTGGCGTGAGATGTTTGGGTATTCTGATGCAGAAGCCAACCAAAACTCATCCAGTGGGAGCTCACTAAATTTGAGTTTTAATGTGCGGTCCGCACGGAGCTCTGCGCACTCCTCTCTTTCTTTCATTGTCAGTTTTTCTGTTGAAGATTCCTGGTTGAATGGGTCTCGGATCCAGTCGTAATCCTCAACGTCAGCAACATGTGGAAAGTGGAGCTCAAACCTGTCTTTTAAGCTCTGAAGGTGTTCGGCATATAATGCGCGCTCCTTTGCTGCCTGCGGCGCAGCTGATGCCAGCGGGAACATGTCCATCGTGCCCTAAAGCCTTGCGCCACAGGATGATAATTCCTACCTGCGCATCTCCGTGGTCAGGGAGTTCTCCTTGAGTTTTTTTTTTCTTTTTACATTATTTTAATGTAGTTTGCCTCTGTTTTGTAAAAATGAATGCAAACAAAGTAGTGATATGACCGTATAGGCTTTTTATTTTTCTGTTATTATATTGTAATGACCATACATGGTTGTCACAAAATTCCACGGCACACCCGTACTTGACTCACGGCACACCAGTGTGCCACGGCACACCATTAGGGAACCACTGTGTTAGACGTTAGAACCAGAACCAGCTGTAAATCTGACTGATCATAATCTTTACGGTTAATTTCAGAGATAATGAAACATTTGTGATGTTGTGCAGTGGGTAGCACTGCTGCCTTGCAGCAAGAAGGTTCTGGGTTCGATTCCCAGCTCGGGGTCTTTCTGCATGGAGTTTGCATTTTCTCCCTGAGCATGTGTGGGTTCTCTCCAGGTACTCCGGCTTCCTCCCACAGTCCAAACACATGACTGTTAGGTTAATTGGCTTCTCTAAATTCTCCTTAGGTGTGGGTGTGTTAATGGTTGTTTGTCTCTGTGTTGCCCTCTGATGGACTGGCAACCTGTCCAGGATCTACCCCGCCTCTCGCCCATTGACAGCTGGAGATAGGCACCAGCAACCCTTGCGACCCCACTACAAGCATGATAATGGATGGATGGATAATAGTTTAGTAAAGTTTCAGGAGCTGATCAGTTTGTTTCCCAGCAGAGCTTGTTTCAGCCTCTTAGAGGAGCAGCAGATGTTTCTTACCAACGATGGTGAGGTTGAGCGCCGCCTGTCGGAGGCCGTAGCTGTTCTTCAGCTCCACGGTGTAGCAGCCGCAGTGCTCCTGCTGCCCGCTGCTGATGGTCAGCTTGCTGCTGCTGTCGCTGTTCTCTATGGAGATGTCCGAGGAGCCTTCCTGGATCTGAACCATAAAAACCAGTCAGAAGGTTTCAGGCTAAGCTGGACCACCGGCTGCTCAGACACTCACCGGTTTCCTGAACTTCAGCCAGGTGCAGGTGAGGGGCGGAGCTCCTGAGAACTTGCAGAGGATCTCCACCTTTTCTCCTGCAAGGATCTTCATGTCTTCTGGGAACTGCATGATTTGAGGCGGCAGAGCTAAAGAATGACACCAATACAATGATTACTGCTGAGTAGGAAGCAGAGAGGCAAAAAAAAAAAAAGGAAGCAGAGAGGCATCAGTCAGGCTTTCATTGACATTATTGATCGTTTCAGTGTTGATCAGCTTCACGGTGATTTAGGTGATTAGGTGCGTCACCTTGTTTAGGAGGAGTCTTTGGAGTTGGCTTCTTTATCCTGGCTTCACCTGATGGAAACACAAACAGAGCCGTCATTCAAACACCTGGATCCTCCCACAGCGCAGACCTCCTTCCAGAACCTCATCTAAAGTCACTCTGCTTCCAAACACTCCTGATCCTCAGGTTCTCATCAGTTACCTGTATCATACTTTTTTAAGCATTTAACAGGGTGCTGTGTTTTTTTCAAAAACCTTTTGAACAAAAACAACCATAAAGCTGCATTCCCCAATCCATTACGAATTAAATGGTGCAAGAAGGACATCGATACGACTTATTATGCCAGAGTTATGGGCATTTGTTCTGCACAAGATCGAACAGGGGGTTAAGCCAGGGATAGTGAGGGGAGACAGTGGCTGAGAAACCCTTTTTTCCAATGGATGCCTCTCCCAAGCTATTTACTGTACAAACATGAAACTTTGTATAGAACATCTTCAGACCCTTCTAGCACTCACGTCATTCATGGTTTAGCTGTTTAGCTGAATTGCACATGAAAACATTGATTCTGAGAAAAAAAAAACCTGAGACTGAAATCTTTGAAAACAATCCACATTTTAGTTGGCATATTTGTTCATCAAAGCCTGTTGAATCTCAAAATTATTTCTGTATCTATGTGTCTATGGGCAAATGTATGATAAATTAATATCTTCATCACTAATGCTTAATGAAATATTGCTGTTTTCTTCGAACTCTGAAGGAAATTTCTTCCCTTCAAAGCTTTTCCCAGTCTGGGTGCCGCCATTTCAGTCCAAAAAAAAAAAGTTCACTGTTTAGACATGAGATAATAGAAGAGGTTTCTGCAGATTAGCTGCTAGAACTCTGTCTAAACGTTACGCCTAAACTTTCTGCCTGGCATTCTGAATGAGTGAGGACATCTATGTGTTCGCTGTATCCCAACATGGCTTCTAATGTTGCTCTAATGTTGTTCTGGCTTCTACTTTAACTGTTTCTATGAACTTCTCTTCTGCTATTGTCATTAAAGGGTTGATGACACAATATTGCTATTTTCTAAAATTTTTTGCTGACTAAAACATTAATACAGATGATCAATGTAATAATTTTCATTTTTAAAATAGTTTTCGTCTGCAAACCTCTGCTGTTCAGAGGACTCTAGCGCTGCTCAGTGTCTGAGGTATAAAACAGGAGTGATTTATGCAGGAGAAAGACTGAGAGCTGGAGCAGCTGTTTTGTTCTGGACAGATGTTTAAGTTTCCATGGATTCAGATGGAGCTCATTCCTAAACACACTGCAGTCATATTAGCGTCATCCTGAGGTGGTTCTGACCTGTAAGCTGTGATGCCTCCATATCCCTCAGCATCACTACCCTCTCCTGTGGTTCAACTGGATGATGCTTCAATCAATTTTAGACTAGATGTTCCAGAACAATCATGAGTGTTTCCATCCATCTCCATTATAGGATGCTAAGTTAACTCCACCATGGAGATGGTTTTTCCCAGCTATAATTAGTGCTGATGTGGAGCTACAAAATGTTAAAAATAAGTCAATTTGATTCATAATAACTCAGAAGCATCTGGTTTGTCCTGCTGCATGATTTTAATGCTAAATTACATTAATTTAATAATAATAACCAACCTTTTAAAGCACCTCCTGCTCTGCCTTTCAGCCTCAGTAGATGGAGTCACCAGATGAAGGGTTGACCGGAGCTTTAAGAGGTGATCTAGACTTTGGATATGGTTTCAGTCTGAACCACAGCTTTCTCCCTGATCTGCTGGATTCCTTGTTCTTCTTTAAGCTCTTTATTCACTAATAAAGTAATAAAATCTGATTAAAATAAACCATAAAGATCCGGTTTCATTGTGGGAGTTTATTTTTTTTACTGTTTTTCGTTGTAAAAAATAAAGATTCTTCTGTTTTGTATTTTTTTTTTTTTTTTTTTTGTGATAAATTAAGAGCTGATTTGCTCTGTATGTGATCGTTCCTCTCCTGCTTGTTTGTTTGTGCAGGAATGAAGTTTCCATGTTGGAACAGAAAGTCCGGCTCCTTCAGAGAAGCAGCAGAACAAGAATGTGAGACTGCAGAGGAGCGTCGCAGACGACCTTATAAGGAAAACCTATTAATAGTTCCTCTGATGCAGGAAGTACAGTTAGTTATTAATCCTGCAGAAGAAGTGGAGATCTGATGTTGGAGGTGATTTTCTATATACGTGTTTCTGCTGATTTTCTGTGTATTATAATAGAGATCCTAATTACTGCGGGTCCTCATGATGAAAACATCCAGATCTAAAACAGAAGCCTCAGAAATGCTCCACTTCACACAGACTCACTAATTCAACTCTTTTACAAACTAGGATGGCAGCTGGAATCTTCACCTTAATTAAACCTGAGGTGACAGAAGCCCAGCAAACATCTTAATATGGTAAACTATGTTTTCATGCTGGAAGGACGAAGCAACAGAAAACTTCCTTTTCCAGGAAGATGTCGTCCTTGTTGATGCATTTCAGGCTGTTTATTCAAGGTTATTGATGCAGCCATGAATGAAACGTTTATATTTGCTGCTGTTCTTAATCTGGGATTACTGTAACCAGGCAACGCAGTCATTGATGATGAGGATTATAATCCACGATCATCCTCATTTTAACAGAAATCGTTTTTCCTGTGTGTTAATGATGAGTTTGTAGAACCGACCAATTGATTTTACTCTGTTATGTTTTAATCACATTATTTTAATCGGATTTCATTATTGAAATAGAAGCAGAATCAGGTTTAAACTACAGAAACTAAACATCACAATATTAGATGTTCTTTAACAGAACAGATGACATAAAGATAAATGATTTATATTTTCCTGCCTATAAAACAAACAAAACAAACAAACAAAGCAGAAAAGAGGAATCATTTTTAACTCTGGATTAAATAAAAAAATCCTTCAAATTGTGTGAAATCATCCCCTGCTGGATGCAGGATTATTGACAATAATTAACTAAACTGTTTTCCATAAAATAGAAATATGTATGGTTAGTATTGACATAGAACAGGTTGTAAATATGTTAGATGAAAAAAATATATTAATGTGTTTATGGAAAACAAACAGAACTAGAACCAAAGGTTTCCTGGAAATCGTCTGGTTGATCCTTTAAACCTGAGATCAACAGAAAGGATCAGAGTTTCTAAGATCACCTGATGAGCAGATCACCTAATTACTGGTTTTAATGGAAGCAGCTGATCTGAGACAGAAAATCCTCCAGAATCCTGAACCACTGCGCCCCAGAAGTCCCTCAGAACTGGAGGAACTTTTTTAACGTTTAGATACAAGAAAAAAAACAAACAAAAAACAAAAACACTAAAAATGATCATTTGGTAAAAAACTTTTTTCTCAGAACTTTTCCAAAGCTAAAGTTTCCAGTCAGAACCAGTCTGAGTCCGACTGGAACAGAGAGGTGGGATTTTTCTTTCTTTCAGCAAACTGCTCCCACTAAAGTTTCTATCATTGAATGTAAACCACTGGAGGATCTGATGCTTGGATTTTATCCAGACGGTTTCAGAGTTTTAATTTCCTCCAGACTAGGAATAAATCAAATTGAATCACATCAGGAACATTTTCTCATTTTAATCCTGTTTTCTTCTTCTTTTTATCTTACGGTTGCCCTAAAAACAATAAGCTGTTTTTTTATTTGGACATTAAAGTTGCGACTCAATGCTTGGGTCACAATATAACTTGAGTTACAGGGAAGTATCTGGTTGGTTGAATTTAACACGCCTCCTATAGTTACCTGAACACTTTATCCAGCAATAAAAACAAACTAAATCAAAATATTCGATAAAAACTGCATCAAACACCGATGACTAGAGTGAAGATGTGCCTAGAGAAAACTTTTAACCCTCCTGAACAGATCCTTCCTCACCTTCTGCACGATGGAGAGGACAATAAAACAGATGATAAACATCTGGAAGTCCAAGAAGAAGAATTTAACTGGTCTCATAGTTTTCCTGCAGGGAATGAAAATTGGACTCTAAAATTAATGCTGGCAAGAGGCAGTAAACTAATTTCCTTCTTCTAAAAAAAACAAAAAACACTCTCCTTTTGGCTCTAAGGAGATGTCAGTAATTATGACAGAGTATCTCAGCTCCAGTTATTTATTGGATTAGATAAAGTAAAGCTATCCCTGTTTATACTTGCAGCAACTCCCCCAAGTTGGGAGTTTGACTTCAGGGGTTATTTTAGATTTCTGATGTCCCTGTGTAAATGAAATACTCCGCTACAGGAAAGTACTTTCTAAATTTAGACGTAAAGCAGAAGTTTCTCCTTTGATCGAGCGTCGAAGCTTTTCCTAACCCGAATCTTCCTGTTAGATCAATGATTGATGAAAGCAGAGCAGCAAAGCTCAGCTTCTATCATTCAGCAGATCACTGCCTGCATCAAAACCTCCATCAGTGCAGAGAAAATATCTATGGCCGACGTTCCTGTGCAGCTGAAACATCTACGGATCAACCTGACTGTTAAATGAAGCTGAAACAGGAAAAATAAAGCAGCTGCTGCTGCAGAGACTGTCGATCAGAACCGGACCGACTGAGACCTGCTCTGAGTCCTGAAGCCAAAGAGACACACTGCCCTAAAAACCAGGAAATATTTCAGCCTGAGGAATCCCTCATTTCCAGTCTGTTAGGTGTTTGGGTAACTGGGAACCAGCAGCTCCACCAAGATGAGCTTCATAAAAGGAAAGCTGTTTCGCTTTCAGGCTTTTCCTCTGCAGCTCGGAGTAAAACGAGACGTGAGCGAGGAGACAGAGAGAAGGCCTTAAATGGAAACAAGCGAGAGGAGTTCCCATCCTCCACCTTAACCCCCCCCCTCGCATCCCCATCCTTCCTCTGTCAGCTCATATCTGAGGGGAAAACTCTGCAGCCGGCTGAGACCTTCAGGGAGGAGAGGAGGAAATGTTTCCCTCATCCTTCATTCAGTTCCTAAAAAAATCCTCTGATCCAAATCAAACATTTTTTTCTCTGGATGTTTGAGTTACAGTAAAAATGTTCTGCTTGCTTCATGTCCGCTGAAATGTTCAAACCTATCAGCTGGTTTTTACTGAGGGCAAACATTTTCAGCAGGACATCGTAAACAGGACAGCAGCCGGAGGACTGCCTTAAAAGGACTGCAGAAGAAGAGTTCAGCTCTGAGGAGCAGAAGAATGTAACCCTGTCGGCCATTTTATAAACACCACAGGAAACCTTAGGAAACACGGATCAGGCGGTTATTTAGCTGATAGAGTGAGAGCTGGAGGCTAAAGGTTCTGCTGGGTCTGAGAGGGACGGAGGAACAGAACCAAGTCAGACCGATTCAATGGAGGCTCAGTTCAGTCAGGATGAAAGGATCCAGTTTAAAGTAGAGAACAGAACCCAGTAGAACCCGGTTCAGAAAAACTCTGGAAAAAGATCTAGATATAAGTAAAAATTTCTTAAGTGTATTAACCCTTAATTTAAGCAGGTAAATGAGATAGTTTGCCAATGGAATGAGTATTTCTACTCTTAAAATAAGATAAGATAAAATACACTTGAAATCAGACAATGCAATTGTGTTTTCTTATTTTAAATGTACATTTTCTTGTTCCATTGGCAAAGTGTCTCTTTTACCTCCTCAATTCAAGAACAAATGCACCTATTGTAAGAAAAAAATTACCTATCTAGATTTCGATTATTTTCCAGTGAAGTAGGTGTTCACTGCAAACATCATCTAGAAATAGGTAAAAAAAAATCTTAAATTAAGTGTATTTACCCATAATTTGAGTAGCTAAATAAGATGATTTGCCAATGGAATTAATATTTTTACTCTTAAAGTAAGATAATTAGATAATAAATACTTAAAATAAGACAATGCAATTGTTTTTTTTTTCTTATTTTAAAGTTAAATTGTCTTGTTCTATTGGCAGACTGTCTCATTTAGCTCCTCAATTCAAGAAAAAATGCACTTAATTTAAGCAAAAATTTTTTTTTTTAATTTCCATTTTTTGCAGTGTTCTGGTTCTGAAGCCGCTCCAACAAATTAGAGACCGCCTCATGGGGATTAGAACCGGGCCACCTGAGAGGAACCTAGCGCTCCACAAGAACAGCTGAGCCTCAGCAGCTGCTGCAGAGCCAGAGGTCCAGATCCAGGATGGAGAACCAGAACATGAGGAACAGCAGACCCTAAATGGACTCAGTGAAGCGTCACTCTGATCCCCTAATGCTGGCGCATTAAGAAGCGGGGTCATCAGGTCAGCTTTTAGCTGCAGTAACCTTCCCCAGAAACTAAAGCAGAACCTGACCCAAACCACCAGGTTCTGCAGCAAACAGATCCTAGAACCATCTTAGACAGAATCAGGATGACTTGAAGTTTGGATCAGAACATGAGGTTCTTTCCGCCTACTTCCTGTTGTCAGTCAGGTTCCATGTGAGTGGGTTTTCCCACCAGGACTATCAGGGCAGTATGATCCCCTTCATGCAGCTCAGTTCCTGAATGAATGAAACCCCAACAGATGGAGGCTTGTGGTGTAACCGATAAAACTTAAAGTTTATTCCAGGTTTCTGCTCCAGCGTTGCAAGTTTCTCCAGATTTATTCTAAACTTGAATTAGAGACCAGCTGAGCTGGAATGGCAGTCAGGATGTCTTTAGCTTAGGGAAGTGGAGGTTCTGTCTCCTGAACATCATGCAAAGGACTGAAGGAAGGAAACCTGTCAGTCTGTTCAGATTTTGGGGAATTTGGTCAAATGAAGATGAGCAGTGAAACAATCTGATGTAAATAATCTGACAGCAGGTTTAAAATTTTTTTTTTTCCATGAACATGTTACTGAACATGAATTTAATGACGGAGATCTGATTGTTTCTCTGCTCAATAATAAACAGGGATTTATTCTGTTGAACTATTTATCCAAACATGATTTAAAAACATCAAATCACAGCTTCAAACCCTCTTTTGACCAAAGTTTTAAGGGATTCGGCAGTAAAGTTCATCCATCTTCAGCTCTTTTCTTTCTTCTTTGCAAACACAGAACTAAAAGTAAGTCAGACTTTCTTTAAATTATTGTATTTAATTTGTTTTGAACATGTAAGTGTTGGGTTTTAATCCAGAAAAATGTGAGTTTAAAAGATTAAAAGGAAATGATCAACACAGAGACAGGGTTTTGTGACGTCAGCGTGTGCCGGGTGGAGAGAAGAACGCTGGCTGGAAAGCCATCACCTTCTCACACCAATCCCTTCATAGCAATGCCTTTTATTAACCGTTTACAACATCAAACAGGCGGGCCTAAAACAGAAGAGCCAGTAATGATTGTCTGGGAGGATGCAGGTAACAAGATAGTGTGAATTGACCAACTGGCTGGATGGAAGTCACACAAACGTGTGATTCTGCCTCATGACCTACAGGAGGTCATAAAAGTTTATGACCCTTCTGGTTGAAACACAGGATAGTGATCACTCTAACAGTAAGTTAACTGAAAACAGATTCCTGCACTGAAAATAGGAAAAGAGAAAACTACAAATACCTCCGTTATCTTATTTCAAGCGTTGTTTGCATATTTATCTTATTTTAGGGGCCAAAATAATCATTCCATTGGCAGATAACATCTGTTTCCAAATAGACTAATTTAAAGGATTTTTTGGTGTTTCAGTTTTTGCAGCACTGAAGCTGTGAGCTGATCTCCAGCTGCTGCGTTAACGAGGGAAGCTTCGTTAAACGGATCAGGATTTATTGACCGTACAGTCGGGTTTATGCATCGGCTGCTTTCCTAATGAAAACAATGTCGTGTTTTTTCATCTGCTCATTTGTTCCAGCTGCAGCAGAGAATCTGACACTGAGGAATGCAGGCGAGGATTTAGAGGAAGATCATAGAGATAAGAGCCGACTTTCCACTGAGGCTGCAGACACAGAACATCGTCTGCAGTCACGACCAGCATGTGTGACACATGCTGAACCTTTGGTGTGCGATGGAGAGACTCAGCGTGGCTTCAGACGTGACAAACAGAAACCATCAGAGGTTTAAACCCAGGATCAGTTCTGAGTTTAGTGTCTTCAAACATCAGTAACTGTTCTGATCAAGCAGCCTATTAGAAACAGTCCTCACGTATTTTCTCCAAAGATGGCGGATCAGGTCAGACTGAGAGCTGAAGGGAATCATGGTCCTAATATTTAGAGGACGGTTCTGAAAAATAATCTGACAGTGATTTACAAACTGACATCTCCAACGAACGCAGAGAGCCTCTAAAATAGAAACGTCCCGCTCTGTGTGTGTCTGTGTATGGGAACCAGTAATCCCAGTCTGCAGCTCCTTATTGGGACAAAAGGAAAGAGGCTGGTGTGGCTGCATATTTTGGAAACTCACTCTCAGAGGTGGGAGCTGCCTTCTTCGACTTCTTGTCTGTCGGGGAGTTTTCTGGTGGATCTGCAGGAGGAACGACAAACAGAGGAGACCTTCAGCACAGAGCAAACAGCTTCACTCAGGGTCAGTTTATACTGGGAGGCTTGGAGATGGAGAGCTCTCAGAATGAGGCAATAACAGCTGCAGGCCTAACATCAACAGACACTGTTAGTGCAGGAGGTGTACGTCTACTCGGATGGGTCAGAACTTCAACAATTAGCTTCAGCTCATCCATTCAGAGCTGGTGAAGCAGAACCAGAGGTTTAAGTCTGAAACTTTGTCAGAATCTGATGTTTCTTGATATCAGAGTCTTTAATCAAATGGTTCCAGCTTAATGAACAATATGATGAAATATTATCTGCTCTCTATTCTTTACATGCATATTATCTTACAAAAATAACAAAGTAAAGATGATTTGATCACTTTATTTCTAAGCTAACATACATCAATAATAGATCACATTTTTGTTAAAGTCTCATGCACAGTGAAGCTTATCCATGTCAACCTTTGGTCTACAGTTATGTTGGAGGAGGAAGGGAACATCTACATCACTACATCTATGCTTTGCACTGAGGGATCTATGACCTGATGCAGCTGCGTTGCCATGGAAACCATAAATCTTTCAGTCCTAACATGAAGAGCAGAGGAGGTCTGATGTACTCAGCAGGAAGTTGGCCTAGAGGGCCTGATTTTATACCAACTAAAACATGAGATTCATTAGATCATCTGATTTAAACATCATGAGAGAAAACTTATGGGAAAATAATAACTTTACATTAATATTCACAACTAGACCTGGATTTACAGACTATTGTGAGCTTCACTGAATAATCAGTTGATCTGCTTCTGATCATCTAACTTTACTGAAAAACCAAAACAAACATAAATTATCGTTCACAAAGCAACTTTAACTGATTTAGCAATAACTATTTAACATCCGCTAATAAAGGGATGCTAATTATGGGGAGTTTTATGTTTCACTTCCTGTTGCACTGGAAGTCCAACTCTGACCAGGAAGCAGAAGCAGCTGGTTTCCAGTCAGCAGTTCCCAGTTTCCAGTAACCGTTAGAGATCTTTGATAGAAAATGTTTGTGTGTGTTCATTGGTTGTAATTACAGGAAGCTCCAAACAGACGGAGGCTCCTGAGGAATCCTGGGAATCAGGAAGGAGACTAATGAAGGAGTTTCTGAACTGTTCTGATTCCAGAACCTGCAGCTTTTCAGGATCAACAGATCAGATTATTCCTCTATTTTAGTCAAACATTCATCCTGTTTTGGTCTTTAGTGTTTAGTCCGTGTGGCCTTCAGATTTATCCTCTGGCAGCAGAGTCTGTTGTTTATAAATTAATACTGAGATAATGATGAATAAAAAAACAAAGCAGGAACAGAAATCTGACCCCTGGAGTTCAGCTCTGGCCTGGATGGAAGGACTCTGCTGTTAAACCTGGAGGTGATCTGATCAAAGCTTCCTTCACCTCTAACTAGACTTAAACTTAGACAAACTTTATAGTCATTTTGTACAAACAGGGTGTATAATAAACAGCATTTTGTTCAGTATAACTCTGAAGACATTTTCATTTCTTAAAGTGCAGCAGTGATGAAATATAAACATGGTGATCAATGCAAATATAGACTGAGATTTGATTTACAGTTTTTCCAGCATTCAGCCGTTTTTCTTTCTTTTTTTCTCGTTTTATAAACTAAAGCAGTGAGAAGATGTTGGATTCTTACCGTCAACTAGAACCATGCAGGAACACTCTGCTCTGCCAGCTGAGCTCTCTGCTCTGCATTTATACTGGCCTTCATCCTCAGGCAGAGCTTTGTCGATGGTCAGAGAGCAGAGGCCGCCTGAAAAACACAAACAGCACATTTATCAGCCTGGACACCTTCTAACAGCAGCTGTGGTGGATTTACAGGATGAAGCTCCTGATCCAGACCCAACTGCTCTGTCCCACCTGTGGATCTGAAGGTCATCAGCAGCTCTAGAGACTCTCTGAAGGTCTCAGAGTTTTGGATTTTATCTGAGTGGAAACCATCCATGATTCAAAGCTCTAAAAGCTAAACTCATCATTGATAAAATGATAATTTCTCTCATTGATCCTCCAGTTTTCCAGTGATTCCACCAGGACTGGATTCTAGATGACGGTTCAAAGAATAAAAGCATGAAGTATACAGAGGAATTTAAACCCAGATTATAAACTGAAAATAAAATCCCTGACATCCTGAGAGCTGCTCATCATTCCTGTCTTGTTTAAAGAAATTGTTTAATTCTGTCTTAAGGAAACATTAGATTTATCATGATGACGTATTAAAGCCTTTATTTGTTCAGCCTCTTTAAACCTCTAAGTGGTTCTGATGACTCAGCAGCTGCGTTGGTTCTGAGTAGAGGACGGTCAGACCCAGCAGGAGTCCTGGTTCTGGGTCCTTATGGACCTGAAGATGAACTTCCATCAGTTTGATGGTTCTGCTAATCAGATGTTTGCTGGAATTTAGGCTGAATTTTAGAAATGGTCAGATTGTTTGGATCTTTCAGCTCAATCTTAACATTAATACCAGATAAAATGATCAGAACTAAAATATCCAGCAGGAATAAATGAAATAAAAGCTTTCTGGTTCAGCGATGCTGCGAGTTGCTTCTGTATGAAGAAGCTTCCAGTCGAGGTAATAAGGAAGAGAAGTTAGACAAACATTTTCTGCTGAGTCATGCTGGTCAGTCAGCATTAAATGACCGTAGACAGAAGACCTGAAATGTTTTCGGTTCATGTTGTCATTCAGTATTTTCTCTATTTTATGTTCAAACATCAGATTAATCATCAGAAAAAAATGGTAATCTCCTCATAATAACAGATTTTAATTGATTTTTCAAAGGTTTTCAACAAGCTAATCACAGATTTTATAATTAGAAGCCTAACCAAGCTTTATATTCTATTTCGGAATTGAATTGATTAAAATAATCACTGATAAAAAAAGATGGAGGCCATCAAGTTTGTTATTTCCTTTGACTGTTCAAAATCAAAGCTTTCTGTAAATAATGACAATATTCTATCATAATTAGAAAAAAATTATATTTCGTTATCTGATTATTATAGATTATAAAACTCAATCCATCAACATCCAATAAACCATTAAGAAACAGACAAACAGACCAGAATCCAGATGTTTTCACACCTGGAAGGGAATTAAATCGATTCTTTAATGTAATGTTGATCAGAGCTCAATGTTGGCCTATATATATATGATTATTAATTAAATGTCTAATTCTGAGGATGAGGAAAAACCTGGAGGTTAGTCATTAAGGCATTTTAAAAAGCAAAGAAAATAAAGTTTATAGAAACTTTACTTTGAAGGAGCTCCAGCCCCCAGCAGTCGGTCAGAACCAAACCTCCAGGCTGAGGACACAACCTTTCATTTTAAGATGTTCTGCTGCTCAGTGATCCACACAGAGAGGAGGCTGAAATAAAGCAGCAGCATCACAGAGAGAAACAGGAAGGATGGATCTAAGATCAGGTGACAGAGCTGCACTGGATCTAACGCCTGGTGCTGTTTATGTTCTGATGTGCAGCAGGTAGCCTGAAGTGGACGGCACTGAGCTACGAGAGAACGAAGCAGAGAAAAGTCAGGTTAGAGAAATTTAGTTGGATTCACTGATGAATTGAGAGACGCTGGAAATAATATCAGCTGTTTGGATTTATTTGAATGAGAAACTGATTTAGATTGATATCATCATTTGGTTCATTATTCAGTCAGGAGGTTCTTCTTCTTCATTATTTGTTCCTAAAGGGTTCTGCATTCTTAGAAGCTGGGTGGTAAATCATGACACATCAATAATTATGAATCAGAGATTTCAGAGAGTAATCAGTGGTAGACGTCAACAAACTGCTGCTTTTATTCCGAACTAATTCCAGCACAGCAACAGTCAGAGATGGAGTAAATTTAACTTGTGGACAAACCTGGAGGGTTGATTGGTTCTGAAGCTGATATCAACTCACTGCTGCAAATAACAACAACAACACATCACAGTCTGAGGCTGCTGTGACCTCTGACCTTCAACACGCAGCACCTCAGAGTGACGCCTGCAGGCTGAACCACGACTGTCCTCAAGGTTAGAAAAACAGGCTGGAGGATTACTGGACACATGATCCAGCAGATCCTGACATATCTCTGCTGTATCTGACTGCAGGTTCTCTATGCATGTGAGACATTCTGTCTGCTATATATCTACAGAAAGCTTATGGGAGGTTTCTACTTCTGCAGATCGATAAACTGATTCAATAAAAGCTGAAACATTTAGATAAACTCAACATGAATTCAACCAAAGGATCATTGAGTCACATTTAGGTTCCAGTTAAGTTTGTTTCTATTTAGAATAGAATCAGAATCAGTCAGTCAAATGAAACCAACCAGTTAACTTTGTGAAGCCCATGAAAAGCAGGTGGTGACAGTGGAGATAAACAGCTCCTTATTAACATGAAGAAACCTGTAACTATACCAGGTCCGTGTGACAGTCTGTCAACCATAATCCATCCAGATTAGCTCTGTCTTTAAGAAACTTTGAATCATCTGATGAAATAAACACTTTTACTCCACAGATCTCCATCATTTATGCGTTTTTTCGCCATTCAGGCTGTGTGTGGACCTGTTTCTGTGCACTTATGTCATCTTTTGTCATTTTGAAGGCGTTACCCAGCAGACAAGGCAAGTGATTGGCTAATTTTCAGGAAATTCCTCCCCTTGAAGCTGTACTCTTCTTCCTTCTAGCAAAGGAACTTCAGGCTAACCGCTTCTCTTCATGTGTTGGAAGTAGGTAAGCAAAGTCATCAAGTGCAACACAGTCAGGATAAATACTGGATTCTGATTGGCTGTAGGGTTGGTTGCTTCCTCTGGTGGGTAAAGCCTTAAAAGTGACGAAAGTTGACATGAGCAAAGAAACAGGTTCACACGTGGGGAGGGGGGAGGCTGCACGGGGAAATCAAACCTTACCTGTGCAGAGAAGGAACAATTACTCAGGTGTGATATATTGGGGCCCCGGGGTTCTCTATCTGCATATATAACAAGCTAAACATGCGAGTGAGGAGGAGTTTATGAGCGTCTGTATGAAATAAAGCTGATATTAGCAGTATTTATTTTACGTGGATACTACAATTTATAAAGATAATCTTAATAATTGTTTTTGCACATGTATAAAATGTAAATAAATAAGTTTATATTTTATTACAAATCAAACTAGAGTTTAATTTTAATAATTTTTCAAAAATACTTATTTTCGCAAATAGTTTTGTTTGAAAATTCGAATTTTGCTCTATTATTGGTTTTCAGTACCAACAATAGTGGGTAGGGGGCGCTGTGGGTCATTAAAAGTGACGTCATGGTCTGGTGCTGGAATAATCATTTGTAACTGTCACTACCCGATCCATACAGGAAGCCCGATCCGTCCCATCGCCATGCAGATATACATCCAGGTCACCATTAATAATATAATCATGATACTAAAAGTACTAATTTCTCTCCTTAAATCACTAAAGAATGCTAATTCTCATCTTTAAACAATTTTTTAATGACTTTTCTGAGACAATTTTGAGGGTTTTTACATTTTCTTTATTAAACTGTTTATCTGACGTCATCTTTGGACATGCTCAGAGCAGTCTGGCAAAACAGGATTAAACCATGTTTGTCGGCATTTTAGTTGTTTCCTTCTTTATATCATGCAAGATATACTATAATGTTAACATGAAACAAAAACATAAAACCCAAAAACACTACAAAAATGTTAGCTCCTGGAGGTAGCGTAGGATCTCCGGCACAGATGAGTGATAAAACAGAAAGGATTTATATGCATTTGCGTTCTCAGAATATACATAATTAACCTTTAAAGTAGGAAAATCATATTTAAATGTCAAATAATTCTGGCTTAAACATGTATATAAATGTATTCTTTATCTGACCATATTGTCCCAAAAGTTAGAAAATGTCTCAAAATCTGTGTTGTTTTTTTAAATTTCCGTTATCTTATACAGGCCAGTTAGTTCTACGTCAGCCTGAACACCTAAATTCAGCCAATCATATATCAAAGGTCATCTGTCAAAATTTTTCGGTCATAGCACCTTGATTCATATGTCGCAGCTAATATACGCAACGGTTGAAATCAGAATCCTTTCCTTTCCCATTGAGTTGCGTCCCAGTGTTCACGGGGATGGACGTCTGTGTCTTCGGCAGGCGTAGAGCTAACAGAACTGGCAGCGTTGCGAGGCAAGGGCTCAAACATGTACGGCTGGAAGCCTTCTACACCAAAACCAAGCTTCTGCCGCCCTGGCGTCCTCTTCCACAACATCTTCGTCCCCGCTTTCCTCCTCTAAATAAAAAATGGATGACGGAGGAGACTCATCCACGACCTCCGACACTAAACTCTCCTCCTCTTGCATGTTTCCGCTGTCCATAGCGTTCCTTGACAGCGTCGTTTCTAAGTCACCAATTTAGTGCTACTTGGTCCCAATGGAATTTCCCATTGGGAGCCTGCTAGCACTAAGTTGCTAACTGGTTAGCAAGATGCTTCCGACAAACCGGCCACAATCAACTTACTTGTGAATCTTCCGCCACAACAATCCCGCCCCCTTGATAAACGACCAATCACATTCACTTTATTCACTCGTGTAAAGTCGGGCACCACTCAGGAGAATTCGGAAATGCAACGGTTGGAACAGCTGCTTCTTTACGACTTCAACACAGTATAGTTTAGTACACTTAATGTTTTTAGGGAGGGAAAAACTTAATTTAGGTCTATTTTACAATGTAAAGCCGAGGGCGACCCGGATTTATATCTTGTTGCGCAAATGAGCTGAAGGTACGGATCATGCCAACGGTGCGGATCAGGTCGTGACAATAACAAACATTGATTTTCTAAACCGCTAAATGAATCTTTGGCAGCGCCCCCTGCTGGTATCAGACCAGAACACCTTATTAACAGGAAGATGCTGTTGTTATTTTTAGGTGGAAGTTTGGGTTTTATTTTGGGGGACAAGGAGGGGTTCCCTCAGGCTAAGCTTTATTGTCTGTCAGGGTCGCTCTGGATGTAAACAGACCCAGTTAAACCAGTAAACCCAGCAAAGCTCTAGGACTGGCGGAGGTGGAGGCCTGGAGAACAGTTAATGCTGTGTGTGTAAAGTGATCTTTCCCATCTGAAATAGCAGCAATGCTTGGTGGTCTCACATCACATCCTGCATCTCTACGCTCTTTTGTTTCACATCTGCGATCTATTAATAGAGTCTGAATCCTTTGAGCTTCAGCAGCAGCTGCTCCTCCAGCTCCCACCAAACAGCAAACAAACAATCTCTCCTTCACTCTGTTGGTTTCTAGCTTCAGGTCTGATGGTGTGTGTGGGTGTGTATGTGTGCGGGTCTGACCTTCGTTGGCCAGGACGATGAACTTGGACGGTTTGATGACCTTCCCGTCCAGCGTCCAGGTGATGGTGACATCAGCAGCAGTGGTGGAGGAGAGGCGACACTCCAGCCGGAGCCGCTGACCGTCCAGCACCGCCACGTCCTTCAGCTTCTCCACGAACTCCGGGGCTACCCCTCCTCCTCCTCCAGTCTTCTGGTCGTGAATCCCTCCATCCACGCAGTTGTTCACCTTCTCGCTCTCTCCGTTCTTCTCAGGGCTGGTGGTCTTCTTCTTGTTGAGGACAGAGCGGAGGTCTCCAGAGCTCTTGGAAGGTGTTTCTGTGGGTTTGTTCCCACTGCTGCCGGCGGGGCTCTTCTTCCCCAACACGCTCCTAAAGTCAACCTTTTGAGGGGAGTTCACCTTCTCCTCCACCTTGCCTTTGACGCCCTTAAGGTTGGCCTTAAAATCCATCTGGCGGCTGTGGTCCTGCTGGTCGTTGAGATCAGCGTTAGGTTGGCTGCCTGGAAATGCTCGGCGTCCCAGCAGCGACTGAAAGTCCAGCTGCTGAGCCTCCCTCTTTACAGCTCCTCTTTTCAACTCTCCCTGGTTTCCACGCAGCGTTTGAGGAGTCCTGAGTACTTCTTTTTCTACCTTCTAGATGCAGGAGCTGCAGATCCTGCAGGTTCTGCTCCTCCTCAGCCTCCTGCCTCTGCAGACTGACCCTGCTGCCTTCGCCTCCTCCTCTGTCACCTCCTCTCAGCCTGGCAGCTCCAGCTGATCCTCCTCCTGGTCTTCCTCCTGCTGCTGTGTTTCTGGAGAAACAAGCATGAAGAGAGATGGAGAAAGAGAGAATAAACAGGACAGAGGCCCCGCCCCCTAACAGCCAGGAGAAGGAGGATGAGGAGTTCAACTCCAACTGTTTGTTACATCACAGGTGACTCAGCTTTCCTCTTATGGGCATGAATGAACTGATGTGAACACACTTCTTCATCAGGCCTCTTCCATGACTGGGACTCCTCTTCACCTCCTTTTGTCCTCCTGCTGGTTTTGGAGCTGCAGATGGTTCCTCGCAGCGCAGGCAGATCAGAGGATGCATGCAGAGGAAATACTGGCTCTGATTGGTGGGCTGATACACACAGATTAGAGAAGCTTTGGGAATAGCTGGACATGAAACAGACGGATTGATGGGAACAGAGGGAGGGCTGGGAACGGAGCGGCTGAATGAAAACAGAAATGTGAACGTAAGAAACCGACTGTGGCTGCTAAAGAGAAGCCCAGCTGACAGTTTGGACCAACCAGAACATCTCCAATGGATCTACAACAAATATATCGATGAATGATCTCCTCAAAGTGGGATCATACAGAGAAATTATTCTGATGCAATGAACCAAAACTGACTGATCCAGTTTAACAGCATCCTTTAGATTTAACAGTTTTCATAGAAACCAGAGAGAAAAGATGACAGAAAACCTGATCATCCTGATCTCTTTCACTTCTAAAATCCTCCCAATAAAATCCTGAACATGTTCAGCTTCTCCTTCCATCTCTCAGTCAGCACCCCCGTCTCCAAATTGTACCTCTCTCTACCATCTTCTTAGCCTTCTATTTCAATCCTTTCTTTACCTTCTGATTCTGGTTTCCTAAGCCGCTGGTCTCCAGTTCTTTCAATCAACAACAAAACATTCTGAAGCCGCAGGAAACCAGACTTTGGCTCAATTTTACTGAAGATGTTTCCACACTTGAAGTATGCAGGAGTCTTTCTCAGTTCTGTCAGCTGAGAGCAATCAGCAGTTAAAGTTTTTAAGCACCTGGAGGTCCATCCTCATCAGCACATTTGATCAGTAAGAATCAAATCAAAGACCCAGCATTTGTTCTTGTTGGACTCTTTTGGTTTTTATGGGTTTTGTTTGGCCTTTTCAATCATGATCAGAGTTCTTGTGTAAATTCTTATGAATGGCTTCCAGGGCAGAGCTGTAGAAGCTTGGAAGCTGAAACAGGAATCCTTCCCCTCTGCTCAGTGATGATTCTTCTCTTTTAACAAACCATCTGTCCTCTCTGTCCAAAGCCTGAACCTTTTGGTCTCCAAAGGTTTGTCCTTTTTTGTTGAGGTGTCAGTGTCCAGCTGGATCCTGCCCAGAGTTACTGGCTCTACTGTGCTGCTCCATGTTTGTCTGAGTGCGTCGTTGGGGCTGAAATACCCCGGTTTATCATATTTAGAGAAAATCCTCCTGACTTTGGTAGAAACTCCTGACATCTATGGAATTACGATGTTTTAAGTTATGCTGCTATAGGCTTAGACTGCTGGAGTACATACGGACCCCTTTTTCATCATTCTGCTTCATTCTATCTCTATTCTCCCACTCTGCAGAATCTGTTAGTTCAAGTTGCTGGAGCTTGGCCTGTTTTCCAGTGTAGTCCTGTTTCTCTAACTGTGACTAACTGGATGCACTCTCCTCCGGGGCCGCCTTTTACAGCTGCTTGTATCTCTGCTTCTGTCTCCTTGAACCCCAGTCGGCCTCAGCAGATGGCCGCTCACACTGAGCCTGGTTCTGCTGGAGGTTTCTTCCTGTTAAAAGGGAGTTTTTCCTCTCCGCTGTCGCTACAAGCATGCTTAGTGTGAGGGATTGCTGAAGAGTCAATGAGTCGATGCAATTAACTAGTTTTCCTTACATAGAAAACTTTGAATCAATTTGACTGGATGATCTGGTGAACTGTAAAGTGCCTTGAGATGACATGTCTTGTGAATTGGCGCTATAGAAATAAACAAAATGTAAATTTAAATTGAATTAAATTGATATTCTAGAAACTTCTTTGATGTGGATTTAAATGACAAAAATAACACTAAGATTTTTTACTTTATTATCTGAGATCAGTTTAATCCCATCCATATGAAGTGTCTGACTTATCAGCTTCTTTTTCAAAGACTTTTTTCCCAAAGACTATAACTTTTGTTTTGTCTGCATTCAGAAGAAGAAAGTTGAGAGTCATTCAGGTTTTTATGTCTTCAAGACATGCCTGTAATCTATATAATGGGTTAGCTTCATCTGGATTTATTTAACACCTCTGCTGGAATTAATGGGACGACTAAAACAGATTTTATGGCATTTAAACCCTTATTTTTTTCATCTTATTAATAATAAGTTAATATTCAACCTGGTTCAGGTCGACCATCAGCTGTAGAAACAGTGAAGCCAACATTTTTCTGTCAGTGAGTCACGAAGGAAGCTGCTCTGTGATTGGCTGATGTTGTGTTTCTATCAGTTGATGCAGATTTTTGGCAGCTTAAATTAGATCCTGACATTTGTCCTGGGTTCTGCTCTCTGGTTCTGGAACCTTCTAGAAATACCTCTGCTGGTGAACTGGGAGCGATGAGTTAACCCTTTCAGAGAGACGATGCTGTTTGATCCAGGCTGGAAACACGGATCAGAACCAGCTGCTGGATAAAAAGTTTAAACTTCTCATTTTCTCCTCAGAAACCAGCAGCTTCTCCTTAAACTGAGGCTGGAACTGAGCCTCTGCTGACTGACCCTGAGGCTCAGACTGCAGCGATGGAGGCAGATAGATTATAGATGCATGGATTTAGGGTGGGGGGGGTTATTCTAATCCTGGGGTCTGAACTCTACATCATTCAGGATTATTCCAGCAGCTTTGCTCAGTTTCTGCTCTCCTTCCTCCTCCAGTGTGTCTCTGCATCACATCAAGCTGATCCAGTCGATCCTTTTTAACCGTCTGAAAAACAAGCAGAACAAAAGTATGTTCTCCATCTTCTCCTGAAGACTTTGGACTCTGCAGACGTTTAGCTGTTGGACCTGATGAGCAGTTAGCCTCCCTCTGCAGCAGGTCCTAGTCTCCTTCAGACCTCAGAGCTCGGTTCTGGTCCGCTGTTGTCCAGGTGTACTGGGGGAACGGGTCCCAGGTGATGGCAGAGGACAGCAGGACATGTTGACAGGCGACGGCGTTCACTGAACTAGAGCTGGATGCTGTCTTGAGGTTCTGCAGGTAGACAAACAGAAACTAGAAGCTGCAGCGTATTTATTTTGGACTTAAATGCTTTCTGTTGTGACAAAATGTTTTATTTTTTATTGAAAAGACTTGTCAGTAAGTCACACCTGCAGTGACATTGTTCTGAGAAATAAATGAAATGTTTTTTGTTTTTTGTTTTTACAGTATTCTTTGTTTAGAAGGTGTATTAATCTACAGACCTATAATATCATAAATACCTCAATAAATTTTCTTTATTTTTTTGGGATATACAAAGATAAATCATGTTGTGATACATTTACTGTGATAAAAGTATCTGATCTCCAACTCTTGCCAATTAACTCCCCTACTGATGCCTCTGGATTATAATCCAGCCGTCAGAGACGCTTCAGAGGTCAGAGGCTGGATTTCAGGGTCTTAGATTTTAAACATTGTAGAGTTTCAGACTTTTTTAGCTAAAACTTTGAAAACTTTCCTCTAAAATAAAAACCCACAAGGCACCCTGTCATCAGAATAAACGACTAATCAAACTAAAAGTGTTTAATGTAAACATGTCAGAATATTCTGAGTAGATTCTGCAGGATTGGAGGTAAACTGGGGGTGTGTGTGTGTGTGTGTGTGTGTGTGTGGGGGGGGGGTTATTGGGATTAACAATCTGATCATCCTGCATGTAAATGATTGACAGGATCAAGTTATTCTAATAGAGGCAGACTGACCTCAGTGGAGCATCTTCATCTCCATCAACGTGACGTATTTCTGCTCTGAGCGGCTGGATGCAGGTCAGAGGATTCAGCATTTTTACACATTTTTAATCCCATCAACTGTTCAGATGATTTTTTTTTTCTTAATCTAAACACATCTCAATTTGTTCAAAAACTGTTTTTTTATGCTTGTAAACAAACCTAAACATTTAAAGCTTGATCTTCCAAGATTCCTAATAAGGGACCTGAACAGGAAGTTTAATTATTTTATCATGTGTAATAAGGAAGCGTTTTTAGAGCATTTCCCATTGGTAACCCAACTATAAGTGCTTAAAAAAACATTCTTATAAAATGTAGACAAGTTAGGTGGTACATGGGGGCTCAGTCTGTAGCACTGCTGCTGTGCAGCAAGAAGGTCCTGCATTGATTCCAGACCTTCGTCCATTCTTGCATTTAGTTTGCATTTAGAGCCTGATTTTCCAAGATTCCTAATAAGGGACCTGAACTGGAAGTTAAATTACTTTATCATGTGTAATAAGGAAGCGTGTTTCAGCTGATCTACAAAGATTCCAACAAACCAGTTTGTTTCTGCCCCATTAAAATAAGCAGATAATGTGCTTAACATACGTTTTGAGAGTTTTATATAAAGAAGAGGTTCTAAGCCATGCAGGTAACATTTATACAAATATTTCAAATACATAATACTATTTATATAAACAAACAGTATTTATATAGCATTTCCCATTGGTAACCCATCTATAAGTGTTTTAAAAACATAAAAAATTTAATTATTTCTTATAAAATGTAGAAAAGTTAGGGGTACATGGTGGTTCAGTCTGCTGTGCAGCAAGAAGGTCCTGCTTTAAATCCAGACCTTGGTTCATTCTCTATAGAGTTTGCATGTTCTCCCTGTGTGTGGGGGGGTTATCTCTGGGTACTCCAGCTTTCACTCTTAGTCAAAAATATTATATAAGTGCTTATATAAACATGCTATGATATCATTTTTTTAAATCAGCTGTTTACTTTTTTATTTTTGTAAGTAGTCAGACAGGAAATGGGATTATAGAGAGGGAGAAGACGCGCAGCAAGGGACACCAGGCTTTGGTCCTGCGTCAAGGACCAAAGCTTCTGTATGTGGGTCGAACAGTTAACCCCTGCATCACCACTACGCCCAGCAGAGGAGTGTCTGATCTTGGGAAATGGCTTTGCATGTGGTTAAAGTTTAAATCAGTAATTCCTACACCCATAAATTTGTTCGGTTTGCTCATTAGAATATCATCTGCATATAATCCAGCTGAGATGACTGAAGAGGCTTCATGTTGGGACAAACTTCAAACCTTTAATTGACCTCCTATATTGTCCAGAGTGTATCTGCTAAATGTGGCCCCTCTGGGCCCCTGGTCCAGTTTGAGGAGCAGATGGACCAG